CTTGTTCGGTAAAATAGTGATATTGCACGTGACTATCACCCCCAGCGACGTGGTGGACCGGTTCAAGAAAACATCCACCAAAATACAAGTTCTCTCTCTTCATTTTGCAATCTGACTTTATTTTTTAGGTAATTGCAATCCGTAAGTGTTTAATCTTGCATATTAATGGACTTTCTGATACATGGACAGCATTTATGAACGATATCGCCGGATTTTACGGATGGATGGATACTTTGTGCGACAATTTTGGATAGACAACAGAATGGATTAATTAGCCGTAAATGTTGGCCCTTTAGATTTCGTAACTTGCGGGGTTTATTTTACGATTGGAGTTGCTTTAGTTGTTGGAAAGACTGCCGGCTGTATCATGCACTAACGTTTTATTCATTCCGTCACTTTGTTCAACCATATCAATTCTGCCATTATCTTATCGATTCAACCTTTTTCAATATCGTCGTTTCCCGATATTCGCAATTCAACTCTTCGTATATATACCGATACGTTTTTTGATCCGTAATCTAATTAGAATTAAGTCACCATGGGTCGTGTACGTACAAAAACCGTCAAGAAGGCCTCTCGTGTCCTCATCGAGAAGTACTATCCTCGTCTTACCCTCGATTTCCAAACCAACAAAAAATTGGCCGCTGAAGTCGCTATCATTCCCTCCAAGAGATTGAGAAACAAGATTGCTGGGTAAGATGTCGTCATTCCATTTTGTCGCCGAAACTCTATTTTTGTTCACATTTTAATGTTAATTATCTATTTGCCGACTTGGCCTCATTTATAGTTTCACCACTCATTTAATGAAACGTATTCAACGTGGTCCCGTCCGTGGTATCTCATTCAAACTTCAAGAAGAGGAAAGAGAACGTAAAGATCAATACGTTCCTGATGTTTCCGCTTTGGATACTGGGGTGATTGAAATTGATACTGAAACTGAAGTATGTTTCTGCTTGAATATTTGGGTATCATAAAGAATCTACGCAGTATAGAAATACGGATGATTGCTGTGCGGATTCAAAATTGTTATGTTGGTGTCATATTGATGCTGACTCAATTTTTCTTTTGGTTGATGCTATGCTACTATCAACAATAGGCTCTTCTTAAATCTATGAACGTCGAACTCCCCAACCTTTCTGTCAAATCAATCATGGCTAACGGCTATGCTGCCGGTGAGCAGTCCGGTCGCGGAGTTGTTGGTGCTAACTTCCGAAAAGACCGCAAAGATCGTCCCAGAAAGTAAGATAGTATCAATCCACAGCGATGATACAACGGCTGTAAATGAATTGATGAGCATGTAATGATAGTACGGATGAAGGGCAAAATAAACCTTATATTTCGATCATATTTATGACTGTTTCCGCTGATTATTCATTCAAAGCAGATTAAACAAGATATTTCATTGTATCTGAATATTCCCTTATTTTTAAACGAGGGTTGAGGAAGTGCTTACATTGACTTTTGTAACGAAGATGATCCAGGTTGATGTACCAATGAGTCTCGTCACGTAGTATTCAGATCTGCTTTGTCATTCATGTATGGATGAGTATATCGTCCAAAGTTATCATGACAGTTCTGTCCCGCATATTGCACATTAGTTGTTGGAATACAGCCCTATGAAGTCACTCACGTGGATGAGCCAATATCCATACATTCGTCTTTCCATCGGTCACAACATACGAACTATCAGCTGTGTTGCTGTGTTCGTTGCAACAGGATGAAACGCAGAAGATTTCCTCCTGTTTCACGCGACGTTCCCCTCACTGGATCGCTCGAATGGATGCAGCGGGACACGGGCAGACGCTGGGACGAAACAAAGCGAGGGATCTCCTGGCACAATCCTGGATATGAATCTAATGCGTAGCGGAATGTTTGGATCTATTTTCCTTACATAGTTGGAGTGTTTGTCTTTGCATTGCTTCATTCGCCGGAGATATCCATGTCGAAAATGTTGAACTCTCCAGTTCTCTTCCTCGTCTATGCCTACTTTATCCTTCTTTCGTCAACACCAATCCTCTCTTCCCCTACATTCTTCGCAGGAATTAGAGAGAAATTCTCACGTAAAACTCATTCGAAATCATCCCAACCCACCACGCCCAACCCTGCCTCCTCGTCGTTAGCATACCTTGATAAATCCTTCCTTCCGTCCATTCCTCCTGCTCTTGAAAACGACAATGGCCCTTTGGACTTGACAATCATACATACAAATGACATACACAGCCACCTTTCACCATTTTCAAAAAGTTGGGAAGATTGCACTGATGATATAAAGGACTGCTACGGTGGTATTGCTAGGATTAAAGTACTTAACAGCCTGGCTCCACATTTATGAGTATGTAACTGACTGTTTTTTCTTTCTTGAAACCCTACTATTAGACAATTATCGACAATGTAAGAGAAAAATTTCCAAATACATATCTGTTTGACGCCGGGGATCAGTTTCAAGGCACGATGTTTTTCAACTATTATAAAGGGGAAGTTTCTGCGAAATACATGAACAAATTCGGATACGATTTGATGGCTGTCGGTAATCATGAAGTACGTCACCGTATTCTTTCTGTTGAGTCGATTGCTGCTTTTATCTGCAATTACTAACCATTTATCTTCGTTCTGCTAGTTCGATGAAGGGACTGAGACTTTGGCAAAGTTCATCGACCAAGCCAAATTTCCAGTTTTGTCTGCGAACCTCGATGCCACAAAGGACCAGTATCTACGGGGGAAAATTATTCCGTTTACAGTACTAACTAAATACAATACTCGAATTGGGATAATCGGTTATATCACGCCTGACACAGCTTCGACCGGTAGTGCTGGACCAGATGTCAAATTTTACGATCCTGTCGCTCCTGTTCAGCGAATGGTGGATCATCTTCGGTCTGAGGGAATTAGCAAAATAATATGTGTATCACACAACGGTTATTACCAAGATATGCATCTAGCTGCTGCGACTTCAGGAATAGAGTTTGTATGATTCCATCTCCATGCTATATGCATCAGAAACTTAACAATATTTTATTTTTGATTGATAGTGCCATTGTAGGTGGTCACTCGCACACTTTGCTTCTAAACGAAGGCGGCCCTGGTGTCGGTGGCCCTTACCCGACTGCCGTCAAAAACGCAAAAGGAAGACATACTTATATAGTTCAAGCGAAATCATTTGGTGAATATGTAGGGATATTCCAATTACAATGGGACAACAAAGGAAACTTGAAGGTGGGAGGTCGGCCGATTCATGTGAATGACCACATATCCGAAAATCAGGAGATCTCAAGCCTTGTCAAGAGTTGGAGAGAGCCCTTTGATACACTTGGCAATTCTGTAATCGGTAAGTATGAGAGACCAATCCTAATTGTTTTGAGTGCTTATTACTTATGATCTTTTTGTAGGCACTTCGAAGTATGATTTGTCGTTGAGAGGTTGCAGCGGGGGTCCGTGTGCGTTAGGGTATTTGATAACTACTGCCATGCTGAGAACTCACGATGGTGAGAATTCTCCGATAGCTGTTATGAACACTAGAGGAATTAGGAACAGTCTTTCGCGAGGAGATATTAAATATTCCTCTGTGCAGAGCTTACTCCCAGCCGGGTAAATTCATCTGTTGTCTTCAATCTTACATGCTACAATCTAACATTTTAAGCCGATAAGAACATCTATAGTTTGCTTAGAAGTCACTGGTTCTTACATCCTTGATATGCTCAACAATATCGCCAGCCGATACAATTTTCAACGTAAAGATTACTTGGATTCATCCGTTCAGCTTGGGAATATCCGCTTCACAGCAAATTATAGGAAAAGCCATCCAAACAAGTTATTGAGTATAGAAGTCCGGAGTGAAAATGGAGAATGGGAGCCTCTTAGAAACGATGCGCGTTATGACCTACTGACGAATGATTTCGTTGCGCGCGGTGGAGACAAGATCCTTCCATCAGTATTTCCAAAGGTTCAAGCCGGAAAATATTTAGCGGACGCAGTTATCGATTATATACGATCTGTAGAAATCGTCGAAATTAGCAAAGAAGAGATGAATTGGGAACGACAACAATATGAATAGCGAAAATAAAATTTCTAATATGTACAATGTATGAACAAATTTAAAGTAATAGACATATGTTTGTAGCGCTTATAAGCAACCCATTCTTCGCATACATCAACTAGAATTGGGTATAAACTCAGATCGGAGAAACGCCCAGAATCGGTCTTCTGTCAAAGCCGTATTCCTTCATTGGGGTCGGACCTGATTGAATTCGTCGACTTCTTCTTTTGTGACAGTCGTCATATTATGAACCTGTTTATTCCACCATTGCCGAATCTGTAAGGATAAGCATTTGTTAAAATTAGCAGATAGACTAAATTAAGTCAGCAGAAGCATTGTAAACTGACCGGCGATAGAGCGTGTTCTTGCGGTCCAAAATCAGCATATAACGCAAAATATGCCCCTCCAGCTGAGCATAACAAATACAACGGAGCATAAAATATTAGTGATGTCTAAATGCCATTAATACTACCGACGTAAGTAGGATTTACAAACTTACCAAGAGACACAGCAACATTGAGTAATTGAAGTCGTCTTGACCATGCTGTTGGTTTTAACGACACTTCGGAAAGAACTCGCTGCCGAAATTTCTGCTTTCGTTGCTCAAACGGCGGAACGTTATTAGGCATTTAAACAGATGTCGGAAGTGCATCTTTGGGTCCTTCGATTCCAAGACTAGTCAGATTTTGTTTACGTCACGTGAATGATGGCCCCACATTATATCACAGTTCGCTTGCTGGGAATGAACACTTGACGAACACTGCTGATGAACCCGTTATGGAAGCAAATATGGCGTAGTTCTTGTACTTGAATCAAGGCTAACAAAGAGCAACCTATGCCAGATTGAATGAAGAGAGCGGCTTTAGCTGTTTGTCCGTGGTATAAATTGATATTGCTGTGGAAAATTGTTAACTATCAATATTATTTTTATGTTGTATAATTAATTAATGAGACACTGAAACATATCGGCAAGGTAGCCAAGTGGTCAACGGCGCAGCGTTCAGGTCGCTGTCCTTCGGGTTCGTGGGTTCAAATCCCACCCTTGTCAATTTTTTTTTCCCTTTTTTTTCTTTCTTCACTGTTACAAAAATGTAATTGCCATACATGAGATTTTTGAGCACTGCATAATCCTTCATATAAATGAAACGCATGGATATTAAATCAATTTGTCTACCAGAATATTGAATCAGGGAACAACCCGTAAACGCTGACATCAAGAGGGCCCGAAGTCCAAATGGAACTGGAAGGAGTGACGAACATACATGTTTCTAGCGAGCCGTCATAGTTTGTCGTCATTCAACAAACATTAGTCATGGTGTTCTATCAATATAGTGAGTTAGGACATAAGACGAAGACTTGAATAAATCAACCGAACCATGAATACTGACAATTTGGGACGAATCATCACTGTACATCTATCGGCTACATGGAACCGTTATTATGCTATTACTGACCAGCAACTCGAGTTTGTGCTGACCGTTACCGAAGAGACAGATCGCGGAACGAAACCTGAAGTAATCCTCGGGGTGTGGTATAGAATTGAGAATTAATGTAGGAAGCCCTAGAATAATCAATTACTCTGCCTTCCCTTTTGATTTTAAACGTTGGATTCTGAAATTTCGATTCGAGTGTAATGTCAAATAGAGAGTTCGTGTCTGCATTTAACTTCATCGGCAAGGTAGCGAAGTGGTCAACCGCGCAGCGTTTAGGCCGCTGTCCTTCGGGTTCGTGGGTTCGAATCCCACCCTTGTCAGATATAATTTTTTCTTTTATAGGAACCAAAAAAGGAATTTCATTTCATGGCAGACTCAAATATAGTTTTCAGATTGCAGTCCGACAAGTCCAACAGGCGGTTTCCTTCGATTCTCTTCGAGTTCTTGACGAATATTGTTTGGCTTAGATTCGGCATATCTTGAAACTCACATTTTCAACACCGAATTGGCTCTATCTTGTGTCATAAATGAGATATACGTAGGTATTTTCTGTTCAGGACACGGTCGAAACTCTCAATATTTATAATGACATTATACTTACATTTCATCGTCTACTCAGAACAGTGTTAAGTTGTTATCATAACCTCTGAACTCCGAAATACTTAAAGCTGTGTCGATATTACGGAATATTATTCCTTTTCTCTGATAATTGAATCATCGGATAACCCGAATTGAAAGTGAGACCTTGGTTGATGACAGATTTCACTGTTCGAACCTGAAAAAGTAATTGATGTTTGCGGAAGGCTACAAAGCCAAAAAAGTCCTTGAAAAAGTCAGAATATTTGCTTTTGAAAGTGGCCGTGTCCGACATATAATGACACAAGGTGTCTGGTTCCACAACAAAAAAGAACGCAAACAAAATAATGACAAGGGTGGGATTCGAACCCACGAACCCGAAGGACAGCGGCCTAAACGCTGCGCGGTTGACCACTTCGCTACCTTGCCGATTGGTTAATCAAGAATATTGTACATCCATGATCATATCAAATATTCGAAAATAAATAATTGGTACCGACCCTCCACGATGACGGCATATCAAGTTTGTTGAAGTAATATATGCATGGATATCTCGGGAATTACAGCCATGCAGACTTTCCCTGAAGGTTAAACGGAATGATAGCATGTATGCATATCCTATAGAAGTCTCATTCAAGATGACGGGACTTCCCTGGTCAGCTCCAGATCGAGCAACTCTCTAATTACTATTAAAACATCTGCATCAATTAATGTTAAGAAAAAAGGTACGTAATATACACAGTGATTGGCTCTATTATTTTCGCATCAGTAAATACAAATTTTCCCCTTTCTGGAAGTTCTGCAGATGCCGATAATCCCCTTCCAAACACATCAATAATCCTCCAAATGATATATAAATCGACCTATCAGAAAGACAAATGGAGAAAAGGGAAGTTTTGTAACATCAGCAAAACAGTTCAAATGACTTGGCGCCTTCATCTCTGAAAACATAAACATACACTTTACTGCCGACCTCTTCGTATTTATAGCATTTTCCAAACATTACATATTCATACTCATCGGCCAAAGTCGCTTCTTTATTTTTGCGGTTGTCTCTCCATGCATCCGAATCTGCAGATGTATCACCAGTTGCGGATAGTGTAGACGCTAAAGCCAGAGCAAAACGGTCGTTGATTTCCAATGGGTACAATTCGTTATTTACATCTAACGTGATATCAGTTTCATATTGCTCAGAATGAGCTAATATTCGGGAGACTGTCAAACGATTTTTGCATCAGGAGAGAGACCGTATAATCGAAAAGAAGGGTAAAAAACGAGGGTACATTAACGGAACATCGACAGGTTACTTAATCATGAAAGCATGAACAATCAAAACAATACCTCTGTCAAACTTCTTGCCATCACAATCGATATCTTCGATAATAAAGATATCCTGAAATACTATAGCTTCTTTAACCATATTGAGAATTTAGGACATCTCATTAGCAGGTTCCCCTCATAACTAATATAGTGTTTATTTTACTAATCACGTGCATTGTTGAGTTGCCAACGGCCGACTCGATTGCACTTATGTATGTACAATCCATTTTTCTACATTCACCCATAAAAATATTTATGATCAGTCGGTAATAGGATGTATTTCATCTTTGCATACTTATCACAATCTAAAACAGGTATATTTTCTGACACAATTTACACAGCAATTAATGAACTAATCCGTCCAAACGCAAGCATCAACTGTTGATTTTACAAGTCCACAATTCACCCTCCAACACGAACATCGAAGAAAGTATTCGTAAGATTATGAATCCTTTGAAGCCTTTGATCCTCAGGGGTGGGGAGGTTGATGAATGAAGAATGCTGGCCAATCTTAAAAATAATTAATGAAAAAGTTGATGTAATTCGCAGGTGATGATAGCATACCTCGTCTTTTAAATTGTGCCCGACATCCTTCTGAATTTCTAGTAACTGCAGTGATATTTGTGATGCCATCTCCGCGACACAAGCCCTAGTCGTTCATCAAATAAATTCAGCAGCTCGAGGAAAAAATGGTCAGCAAAACGAGAACACACCTCATGATCAAATCTCGCTCATTTTTGTCATATTGTCCAATCAAAGTGGCCTGAGTATTCTTAGAAATAATTCCTTTCAACTTTCCGATCCTCTTTACTAAACCACCAAGCAATTTCGCTATCTCTTTCAAGCGTTCTGAATCATCCGTATGATCTCCCTCCCCTCTAACAACAGCCTTCTTGATTTTGAAATAATCCAGAAATACTTGACCTGTCACATCCCAATCAGAGATAGTTCCTGGAGGAATTTTGAAAAGTAGAGATTCCAATTCCTGAATAGTGCCAGGAGAATTAGACACAACAGATTCTGGCGCAAGCGAATTGACGATGAGAGCGTGAGCAAGACTGAAATGACCGGACTCAATCAAATATTTCGCTTCGGCCGGATTATCCTGTATATAGCGAGCATAAAGGGCCTACAATAGTGTTAAAATTATAATAAATATCACGCAACCACATACGAACTCCAAAAATTAATGGAAGATAAACAGGATACCTTTGCTTCATCAACCCATCGTCGAGGAATCTTTAATTGATTGATTACAAACTCTTCCTGCGGAGTGGAAGTTAAACGGATATGTCTTGCCAAAATCGCCTTAATCGCAATTTCAACCCTATCACTCAGTTAAGCAAGACTGAACAAACACCGACACAAAAATGAAGTGCATACGGCGACATACCTTTCGGAATTAACCAACCAAAGAGCGACAAAGCAACTCCATTCCCACATTCCCAACCATTCTAACATTTCCATGAAAAAGCACGTAAACTTATCACCTTTTAAACTGTAGAACTCTTCTCTATTATGTAATACTCTTCCCTCTCCCGTGTATTTAACGGCTTTCGCGTCAGAGAAAAACCGGCGGAGCATAAATTGATTGTTTGCAAAGATTGTATACAATAACCAAACCAACCGAACATCTACGGGCGAAGGAGAAACGGTTCGAGGAGATAAAACTGATTCTAATTTGTACGAATTGTCAATGTAAAGATGCAGTAAATGATAATTGATATCATATGGTGTCGAATACATCGCTGCGGCAGTATTCAATTTAGTTCTTGTCGAGACGATTACTTCACCATGTTTGTCAGCGTCCTCCCGAAATATTACTTCTTCAATGTAGTTTGGCCAAGGCCTAGGGATGGCTAACAATCCATCAACCCCGATCCTATTGAGTTGATGATGAATCAATCTTTCGTAGTACTCCAAGACTTTGGTCAATCCGTCACGACAGGTATCTTCGCCAGTGACCATCTCCATTTCGACGTCATCAATGGAAGATCGGTACCACAGTATCATTGCCAAAGCTCGCTTCCAATCTAGCTTCTCGAATACGTTTACAAAGTCTGTCATTCCACCTGCAATAGTGAAATCTGACTTAAGGCCTCCTATCGTGTTCCATATTTTTTTAACATTCTTGCTCATCATTTCGTTCCATATTCCATCTTGCTGCCACATATCGATTTGCTCGTTGACCGTACTCGTGAAATCATCATTTTGATTACCGATTTGAGAGATTAATAAAGCAAGTTTAAAATTTCTTTCTTGAATTGCTAGTGAGCATGCATCGATTATTTTGCGGCCAGTTAGAAGTGTGAAAATCATTTCTGCGTTGATCTTTTGACTATCATCGAAATTGCTCGATTCGGAGACTTGTTCTCTAAGACGAGAAACCTGTTGACTAACTGTGTGATTTACTGCATCGTCAAACCAACGAATCAAACTTGCATTACGTTGGAGATGAGGCAACGCAGGGTTTTCAGAGTTTGGGTCAAAGCTTTCCCACAGCACTTGACACAGTCTCCAAGTCATCATTTCTGCCGAGATGGATGAAAGCGATGCACAAGAAGATAGACATTTGATGAATGGCATGAACGATGACGCATTGAATTCTTTGATGTAAGGAGTACTATCTCTGTCATTCCAAGTCGAAATGACGGAATTTTCAAGATGTATTTGCAAGGTTCTTGTGGCCACAGAATTGAGAGCTCCCTAACATATAAAA